ATGAGTGATGAGGGACAGCCTTCTCCAGTAAACCTAGATCTACCTGCAGATGATCTATTTTTGTAAAGGCTGTGTGTTGGCTCATAAGGGATGAGACTTCCAGATGTGGAAAGGTTTCCCATTCCAGTTCCCCTTTGCCGCCTTCTAGTATCCTGTCTAGAAAGATAGCTAGTGCACTTCTCTAGGTCTTTGAGAAAGAGGCAGAGAATCTGGTCTGAGGACAGCCTGGCTTCTGCTGCAGAGCTCTGTGCTGAGCTTAATTTCAGCATGGAGGTGCTCAAACCTTGGTTCCTGCATTAATTTCCTCCTTGCAGAAATTTAGACCCTTAAAACTTGTAAACCTACTTGAGAATGGGATGCCTTTTATTTTGCTGAAGCATCTTTGCCCTTGTTTTGGCATCTGTGAGAATGCTTTGAAATTCACTGTCCCTGAGCATTTTCTCAGTAAACATCAGAGCTAGTGTTTCATTGCCTGTGTCTGGGACCAAGTAACATTGTCCTCCTGGTGGAGTTACAGAGCAGGGTCACAATTCCTTTCCCTTGAGGGACATTGGCTGAGAACTCTCTGGAGGTCCCCTTGAAGAATGGTCACATGTGGCTTACAGTTAGGGGTAGCTTTTGCTTTGGTACCCAGCTTGGTACCTTGCTTCAGAGCTCCAGTAATGATGGCCTTGTCTGGATGTCTCTGTCCAGTGTGCCTCGATTTTTTTGTGTGAGTGGTCATGCAGGGAATTGGCATTACACAGGAAATTGCACCTCTTGTTTTATGTATTTAAAGTACATGTCAAGACTATGACATGAAAGTCCTTTATTCACACGGGGAGTCTCCTTTCACAGAATCATCTAGTTTGGAAGAGACCTCCAAGATCGTCAAGTCTAACCTCTGACCTAACGCTAACAAGCCCTCCACTAAAACATATTTGTTCCAAAGGAGCTTCCTTTTCAAGCATTTGTTAGGGAGAGCACAAGTGAGGCAGCTGAATACTGCAGAAGGCAGTATCAATAGCATCTTGCATGCAAAGCATCATTCTCAGATACTTCTGTAGCAGTGGGGTTTTCTTCAGGCTCTGTAGAGGGAAAGACAGACACGATGACAGTCTATAGCTAATTGTAGCCCATTTAATCCAAGCAGGTTTTGTGGAGTATGTGTGCTGATCTCCGTCCACTCAGTTAAAACTCTGAGCTGTGAGTTAACAGAGAGTTTTTGCAAACGGTGCAGGTGAACTCTGAGTGAATGCCACAAGACATGCTCTTACAAGAGAGCTCATAACTACCAACTAGTTCATTTCTCATCTTGACCCTTTCAGGATTTTCCTGAAGATTTATTCCCAATTCTAAACATCCAGTGTTGTTTCTTTCCTCCTTCTTCTCTCCTTTGAACTTAGGTCCTAAGGTCATAGAATTGCATGTGTTCTTTTTGTTTGTTGCTTTTTATACTAGTAGAGATTCTGTAGGCCAAATTGTGTCCTCCGTACCCTCCTGTTGCTACAACATGTAATGCCATATAAAAATATGCCAAACAGGAAATTTCTCCCTTCTGCCTAAAATGGTTTTCAGCTAAAGGGGTGAAAAAGAATAAGGGATGTTGGTAAAGGGAAAGTGTTACTTTGCATTTAGAATGTTTGATAGCTGCCTCCCTGCCTCTGTGGGATGAAGCCTGCATGTCGTGTTCGCTATGAAAATCAGTTGTTCTCATAGGATAGTGTTGAAGTGGATACCCTTAGGATTTAGTCCAGCAGAGCTACAGTAATGGCTCAAAACATAATGAAACAAATAAAGTGTCTGGAGATCTGCCAGTGGGTGCTATTCTCAGCATGTCCTTCACCAATTCCTTATAATTTTGATGAAAAAATGTCCAACAGCTTATGGTTTTGAAAAGTCTTATAGATTTTTAAGTTTATTGAAAAGACTTGCTTTACAATATCAATCGTTCAGAAGAAATTTGAGTCTAAGGTTTGAGGATTCCTGTGCTGCTGAAACCCACTGATGGCTTTGAAAGGTGGGGAAACAAGAAAGTCCACTGGCAGGCTGTGAAAATGCACAGTCGCTCAGATCGAGTCCTCAGGTGCAAAGTGATCCTCTTTGCTGTATTGCTTTATTTGCTGAAGCATTAGTCACAGAGGAAGAAGGCCTTTTCTTTTCTCGCTGTGCCTTGGGAATGATGTGCCTATTTAATCTTAACGGCCTAATTTAAGTCTTTTCAGGCAGTTTAGGGATTAAGTGGAATTTACTGGTATATTATCTCTTTTTCCTGATTTCTGTATCACTGAGGCAACTTCAAGTCCTGAAAGGCACCCCTGTGAGTGAGAAGGGGCAAGTCTGTCTCGTGTTTGTTCTACTTTGGCAAATCAGAAGACATGGGAGTCTGGCTGCCCTCAGTGCTACCACGCTGTGTTAGACTTGCTGCTGAGGCAGTGACTACATCCTGCTGCAGCCAAGAATGCTTTTCAAGAACACTCAAACTAGGTTTTCTTGGCCTCTGATACTGAGAGATTTTTAGGCTCATGGCTTGAAGGCCTTGATGAAGCTTTCGCACTTGCACAGATCAGTTTCAGGAAGGATTTATAGAGCATCTTCATGGGATAGAATAGGTAATACTTCAGATAACAGTGTGGTCAGAACGGGGGTATGTATGATCTCAGGGATTTTACTGAAATAACAGTGGGAACTGCCTTTGAACCATGTAAGGTATTTAATAACTCGTGTTGTGACAGGGGCTGCCACGAATGGCTGGAGGCTCTGGTATCAAATTCATGAGCCCAGTGCAAGCAAGTTATTCTCTGGTGAATTAAGCAAAGAGGAGTTCTGAATTAAACTTTCTATTAATAATAGCAGGGAGCTGGTTTGTTGGCACACTTTTTTTTGCACAGCTTTGCTGTTCTTGAGCATGTTGTGAAGCAGCACAGTAGATACTTTTACCAGCTCTGCACAAGGCCCACATCTACAGCAGACTGCTTTTCTTTTTTTTGTGTGTGTTTTGGGATGTCTGTGGTCACCTTGTTTCACCCTGTTTCACAGGACTTTTTCTGTTTCAGGACTTGCTCATGGCAAGTACTGTGCATAAACTGCTTTGGGGTATGGAGGCAAACCCTGAAGAAATCTGGAAGGGAACGCAGGACTGTGCAGTGCTGTGGAAGTGCATACCTAGAAGGTTTGCATGCTGCAGGGGGGATGACTGCAGTGCTTTTCTAGTTGCATAGCAGCTTTCCTTTCAAAGTGTGGTGGGTTGGCAGCCGCTGAAACATATTTCACTTCTCTCTGGTTACATTACTGAGACAAGGCATTAATTCCCACATAAATTTGGATCGTTTGCAGGACCTTTTACTACAGTGCAGCTCTCCTTCTAAGAGCTATATTGTTTAGCCTCAGACTGGAGAATAAGACTTCTTCACCAGTGGCATGCTTGAGGTGTTCAAAGCAGTCACAAGCAGGACTTCCACTGCTTCACGCTGGGAGAGATTGCTTAGTTTAGGAGCTGAAGGTATTGTGAGATGTGATTGACTGATATTCCAGGGAAGATCTGAGCTGTGTTTACCGTAACTGGCCAGGAGCAACACAAATACTATGCATGTGTATAACTCACATCTGAGAGCTCTTCCACCGGGAAATCTTTGGTGAAGGCTGCTTCCTCTTATATGGGTAGAGGAACATCTTTATTTTGGGAGAGCTGTCTGAGGGCTCAGTTCATCTGTGTCTATACTTCCTTTCAGTTTTCCACAATGTGATATGCATGCTAGGGATATCTCTTTGCAGTCCATGCAGTCTCTGAAAAGGAAGAGGAGTCTCAGCCCATTCTGTGGAAAAGTAGGTGGCACATGCCTGATGCTTGGCCTGATGATAAAGTTTGTTTAGCTGTGCCAAATGATTTTTCCATGACTAGCCCCAATGTTCACCTTTCTGAGTCCATTCAGTCAGGGGTTTTACCAGAGAAGGCAACCATGAAATGAATTTTCCATAGTTATGTAGTTTTACAAAGGCAGGGCAAGAGTTCTGCTTTGGAAGAATTGGATAAATCCTCTAGGGCTGAGTGCTCATTTTTTTGTGCAGTAAGCCAGTCAACTTTTCTTTGCAGAAAAGCAGATACTGTGCTTTTTTTTTTGTTTGTTTGTTTTGTTTTTGTTTTTATTTTCTGTGATCCCAGAATCTTACAAGCCTGTTGCAGCCTTCTGAAACCTACCAGATTTTCTCCAGCATAAACGTGATAGCCTCGTGACCCTTGGCTGTAGCTGATGAACCTTCTAATTCCTCCTGTGTGTAAGGCTGTACTGATAACAAATACTAATCTTTAGGGTTGATACTTTCACTCCAAATGCGTCTCTTTTTCTTTGTTTCTTGAGTGCCATCTTGTAGTCCTTTTGGGAACATGTTGAGGGAGATTTTTCTTTCTAATTGCTGGGGGATGCCCTTTTGCTAGTCATAGGAACATAGTCTGCCAGTCTCGTACCTGTGGGATTTGTCTGTCAGGCAGGCAGTGTCTGTGGGGTTATCCCACAAGCTTCAGGTCTAGAGAGCTGGTGATATGTTCTTGGCCATCCAGTGAGCTGCGGCTCAGTTCACAGGAACATATTCTGCTCTGGAAGGCCTTGCAGCTGACACTTCCAAAAGCACACCACAGGCCAGCTTTGTGCTTTTGGCTGTGCTGTTTTATCCTTTCCGCACTGCTTGCTTCCAGTAAGGAAGAATTCCATTAGTGGTTTAATGTGGGAGCACAAGAGAGGTGTAGAGCAGCAGCTCATTTCTTTGCTTTGCCCTTGTATGTTCAAGTGATTCTTCTGACTTCCTTTCTCTGTGAGCTCCTGTGTGTTGCACATTCAGCTTTCCTGCTCTAGAGATTCCCTGTCTTACTTCAGTCCTCTGTAGCCCCTTGCCCTGAATACAGTATTCTCCTTCCTCGTGGGGCAGTTTCACTTTGCCCCCTGCTCAGACAGGGTCCTGTGCATTTGGTCTTCCATTACAGGTTAATACAGGTTCTTCCTTCTTCTATTTACCAAAGAGAGTTAATTCTTCTCCTTAGCTGCCTCCTAAGAAGCTCTCCTTAAGGGATACCTGTGGAGAGCTTTCACATGCTGGTAAGTGCTGTCTTAGTGTTCCCTTACCCTTGCTTCACAAGTGCGTGTGTTTTTTTGTTTGTTTGTTTGTTGGTGGTGTTTTTTTTCCTACTTTCGTACCACTTTGAGGCTGTGGTTTGTACAGTCCCTATGTGTCCTTGAAGTATGATGAGGTAAGAGAGTGGTCCTTGAGTACTAAATAATGTTTGAGTCAACATCAGATGTTAATGGAAGACTGCCGATGAGTGAGATGCTGCTTGTGATGTGTGTATGTAGTAACAAGAGGTATTCCACCTGTTGCACTAAAAGGTACGTGGGATCTGATTTTCTTTGAACTAGGGAATTTCCAGGATGACACTTTACTTCAGAACCGCTTAGGACAGGCGTTGTGGTGTTCCTTCATGCAGTGGGCTGTGGTATTCCAAACACAGTTTATGACAAACAGAGAAATGCTTCGCTCACGACAAGAGAAATAAAAGTCTATCTCCTCTTCCCCCTTCGCTTGTGATAAATGTGATAAATGTCCTGCAGGACAGACTAAAGAAGGTCCCAAGCAGTAAGTCAGCATACCATTTGGCCCTTGCCAGAGCAGAACCTGAACAACACAGCCCTGCTACTTGCTCTGTGTCCCCCTTGGAGTAAGATTTTGTTTTGTTTTGTTTTTGTTTTCCCTCTTGTCTAGGTTCCTGATGGCAACTGGTCACATACACGACAAAGTTTGTTTTGGAAATACATTGTACCCTGAAATCAAGTTTTCTGAATTTCTCCCACCTGTCAAAATAATTAGTTTCAATTTTGTTTTGCACTCAACACTCAGCTTTTCATAGGTTTTTATTTCTTTTTTTTTTTTAAATGATTTTGAGCTCTGAAATTTTGCTCAAATTAAAATGCTGTTAACAAATGGCATTGTAACAAAATTCCCCAGCTATTTCTTTTCACAGATATATTACTTATCCACTCTTAGTGGTAACTTTGGTAGTATTTACCCTATGAATCTAATTCATATGCTTCTTTCAGAAATAAACCAGGAAGATGACAACTCAATATCACTCTTGTCAAATGCTGAATATCAGAAATCAATTAGCTTAGATTTTGTTAGAGAGCAGGTAACTTACTTTAAGCACCCAAACGCAACTGCAAAAACTGTATACATTGATGCTGTAGTCCAAGCTGCTTCCAAGCAGCCTGTTTCTATAGCTTCTTCTTGTTCATTGTGGTGCCATCACCCGATTTGGGCATAGCTGCAGATCAGAGCAGTAGCTGTTACACACTGTCACTGCACAGGCAGTGCCGAATCCCTGTTGCTACCTGCTTGGCTTTGCCTGTCTTTGGCTCCCAGCCCCACAGCTTTGTCCGTCCCCCAGGTTCTGTTTTGGCGAGGTCTCAGGTACCTGGAAGTTGGTGCAAGATGGCATTATTAATCTTTTAAGGAGCTGGGGTAGTCACCATGTAGAGCATTTATAACATCTGATTGCTGTTTGCAACTGTCTTGCTCTTGATCGCTCTTAATTAAATTTTCTTTAGGTCTTGTCTACAGCTGGTGTATCACACTGGGAGACTGTTCCTTTTACTGGTGCCAGAAGAGTCTGAATAGTCTTTTGTGTTTAAGTGGAGGTTATTAAATAGATTTATATTAATTAACTGTGATGCTGGGAACACATGGGCAAATGTACTTGAGGAGATTGGTTTATCCATATGGAAATTACATTGGAAGTTAAATCCATTACCCTAATTGTAAAATTCGACAGCGCTTAGCCAATAACTGTGGAATTGCCTAACTCATGCATTTGTTTCAGAGCTGGGCAAGTGCCTAATTTCCTTGAATACTTGCTCAAATTAAAAATTGAATTTGCCTCAACTGTGTATGCTTCTTTGTCATTTCTATGAGTGGCCTAGCAATTGAATTTGGAGATAGGAATGGTCAGTGAAAGACTAAGATCTAAGAAGCTATGAGAGGAGCCATTGCAGGATGGTAACTCTGGGAGGCTAGCTTGGATGCTCTGAACTTCAGGCTCTTTCCTTTAAAGCAGGGATGTTGATGTGCCCACAAAATAAAAGTTGCTTACCCCATTCAGTGAAATAGCTGGCAGGTCCAAGAAACAATCAGCAGCCAAAATGACTTGAATAATAGAAAATAACAAATAAATTAGAAAAAGTTGTAAACTGCTCATGGTTGATTGTGAACAGAAAGGAGTTAGGTTTGTGGAATAAATGTGTTTGCCTCAAGCTGGTTGTTCAGGCCTAATTTGGAAAGAAGGCTGGCGTTTGTAGCTACAGTGGACAAAAAAAAAAAAAAAAAAACTTCACTGCAGCTCCCCTTTTCAAATGGCAAGGACAAAGTATTTATTCAGCTGTCAAGTGGGGAAAGAAAGCAAATTAGTTTTAGGCTGAAATGCTGTGCTGTGTTTGCCGCTGCAGTTCTGAGGCCAGATGGTGACTTGAACAGCCCTGGGGAATGGGTAACAAGTTTCTCTGGGGCAAAGATCACAGGCAAAAGGAAATATTCAGCTTATCCTGCTGTTTCACTTCCTAGAGCTGTTCTGCAGAGAAGATAGTGTGAGATTTAGAAAGCTGTGTCTGTTGGGGGGATTCACTGCTGTTCTTGAAACTGATGGAGTTGCTGAATCCTTGAGTCGGTTTGTGGCAGAGATGCAGAGGTCTGAGAGTTGCTTTTCTACCAATTTGATTCTTGCACTGAAGTGCAGCTGTCCCTGGGCCAGGTTGGGTAACTTCTCTGCCAGCAGCTCTCAGTGCGGCAGTGTGCTGTGGTGAAGAAAGTTCACTTTGCCACTTACACCCCAACTCCCCCGCTGTTTTTTTAATGACTGCAAACGGTTCAGACATCTGTTTCACCAAGGAGCTGAGAGATGGCACCTGGAGCAGAGTGGCATCGTGCATAGGTCCACTGTGAAAATGTAGGTCTTGTGCTCCTGAGGCAGTGCTGCTTTTGGTCTGTGACCTGCTGAGGTACCAGCTCCTGGCCTTGCAACAGCAGCAACAGAAATCCATGCCTGAATGGTTAGCCCCATGCTCAGAGAAGCTCTTTCTCAGGTTCAGGCCTTCTTTGGGCTCCTTTATCTGCATGCCACCTGGAGTTGCTGGCTCAGGTGTAGCTCCTGCTCCACCTGCTGCCTGTCATGGTCTCGCTCCCCCTGGCCTGCAGAGCTTCCCTGGGTGCCCACTGGGGAGGCTGGTGCCCTGGCTGAGCAGCTCCTGGTGCTGCGGCTCACAGCTGGGGTGCAGGCAGGGGTCTGCTGGGTGTGGGGCTGGAGTTGACCTGAGGCTACCCAACGGCAGCCACATCTGTGCTCCCAAAGCCTTTTGAGCCCTGAGCCAGGCCCCACTTGCCCTATGGCCTCTGTACTGGCTCATTCCTCAGTTTCCTACCCAGTCAGGGGTGTCCTTTAAATGAGCTCTGCTTGAGCTGGTGGGTAACCAAGCAAATGGAGTGTCTCTACTGCTGTATCTGCTTAGGGTCCTCATCCGTCTGTTAGCTATGGCACAGACCCCATGAGGGAGCAGAAGGCATCAAAAACTCTCCAAGAAGCTACAGGACTTTTTTTTTGAACTTTTGTTTGAATATGCAGGCAGAAAGCAGTCTGGAAGAAAGTACCCCGTGCTGGCACCACACGTTCTCTGTGGAAGGAGTTTTAATTGCTTTTAAACAAAATTCAGCTTCCAGTGTAATGTTTTCATTTAGACTTAATTGTTATCCAGTATAAACAAGGTAAGGGGAAAACAAAAGGATTAGAAGGGCTCAGTGGGAGGAGAGCTGGCTGGCTGTGCCTGGGAGCCCACAGCTGGAATGGAGCAGGGGGATGCTGCAAGAGAGCACAGAAAGGCTGAAGCAATTAGATTGTGCAGGTCAGAGGGAAAGGGATGTTAACAGGAGGGGGCCAGGAGGTTTTGTACTGCCCACCAGAACAGCATTGGATGAACCCCAGCCAGCTCTTACCATTTCTTTAACACCTGGGGGTTCGCTTCTGTTTTCCTGTACTTTCAAAGGAGAGACAGGTAAGAGGAGGATTATTGTGAATCAAGAAGGTTGTCATGGAGAAGCAGACACCTGTTAGAAACAGAACTTGATCGTTTGGATTCACAGGAAATCTAATACAACAGAGCATAGTTGGTGCTACACATTGCTGCTTTGAGGTGTTGGAGGGGAGAGATTGCATGCTGGGTTTGCAAACCTGGTTGTGCAACAGAGACATGCACGTGGTGGAAGTAGTTGTGTACTCGCTTTGGCCTTTCATTTTCACTTGGCTGAGTTTTTTGAGTTAAAAAACCTTGCAGGACTCTCACTGGAAGAAACAGGCTGTAGGTTGCTTGCTTTCTTTTCTCTCCCATCTGTCTGTCCCTTTTTTACCCCAAGGGAAAGAGGTGGTTGGTAATAGCCTGCAGGAAAAGGCCCTCTTCCATTCTTCTCAGTCCTTCCCAGTCTCCAGAAAGTATTGCTCCTTTCAGCACTGACTCTTGGTTTAAGGACTGGTGAAGAGGTCAGTTCAGATTCTTCCACTCCTTGCAACACCTTCTTTAAAAATAGAAGACGCATCACAGTGTAAAAGTGATGCAGCCACTTCCAGAAAACCCAGAAGTGCCCAGGGAAAACACAGGGTGTTGGGGAGTCATGCTGCTGGTGCTTCTGCTCTGCCTGCAGAGGATGGCCAGCAGAAGGACACATTAAGTGCTTTACAGCTCATGTTTTCTGCATTTACTTATCTGTGATCACCTTTCCCTTCTTGTGAACTTTTCTGGCAGGCTGATGTCTTGTTCCTGCACGAGCATTTGCAGAGCTGACGTGGACATGACACACCTGCTTGTCAAACCTCTGAACCCCGAGACTCTCCTGAGTTACTGCAGCTAGTCAGATTACTCTGAATAAGAAAAACTTACTCTGAATAAGAAAAACAGATTCCTGAAGGGAATTTGGAGTTCAGAAATCTTTTCCTCTTTACTTTATTTTTTCTTAAGTAAATTGAGGGAACGTCAGCTATTCCACTGACAGGAAATGGTAAAGGATCTATCTCAAATCATTTGCTTAGATCTCCAGGGCCCTGGGGTTTATGAAAAGGTTTTTCTATAGACTCTACCAGTTCTGGGAAACATCTGTTCTGCATTCTGAATGCATTTTCCCAACAGAGCTTGTTTTAATAAAATCATCACTTTCTCTGTGGTTAGAAAATCCAGTGCAACAAAGGGTTTTGTGTGCCCTAAAAAGTTGTTGACCACTGGTTAATGAGGAAATTAAAAAGCAGCATGTAACATCATTTGTCTTACCCTATGCTTTTAGAAGCTTCCCTGATGGTCATAATATGACAGAGTTTACCAGAACTAAAACTCTGAAAAGAGATGGGTGCTTAATGTTACCTATACTTCTCATTTTATATTTTGATGCTTCATTGTAGCCTCTGTTTGAAATCCAGACTCTAAGCTATGGTGTGTGACTAACACACGTGTTGAATAAAACTATTAAAGCGAAGAGTTTTAAGGCATGAGGAGGGGAGATTAAATTGTAAATCTTTTTTTGAATTTATGATGCATTTTTCCTTGATTTTGCCTGAGCTCTGAAATGGCTTTTCCTCCACCATAAGACATATTAAAAAGTCTTGCTGAGGTTCAGTTCACGTGAGACCAGATAATTATCTGTACAGTCAAGTTCTTTGCTGAATTAGAAAAGCAGGAGAGACTGGCAAAGTCACCAGGGCTCACTGGAGAGTCCTTTGTCCTTGATGGAGGTGACAAGCGTAGTGGTTGAATCTACTGCCCAAGTTCAGCTATGTAGCCCTTCCCCTGTATGAAAAGCAGCCAGAGAAAGAAGAGGATATCCAGTGAACATGGTTGAGAGAGGTCTGGAGAGAAAAAATTATCCTGGGGTGGAACTGCATTGAAGGTGAGAGGGCTTGATCTGGACATTATCTGTTCTTTCATCTTGGAAAAAAGGGAGATGTTGGAGCTTCATCTCATCCAGCTGCCCATGTAGGAACATTTTGTGTTCTCAATCTGCAAGTTTTCAGACACCTACAATTCTTCTTGACTATCATTGGGTTTTAAACTAAAATTCTAGATAAACGTAGTCTGAAAATTAAGGTTCTAGTAATTTTGCTTAGTGGGTAACTCAACGGACTCTGAACTAGTTTTCAGATAAAACTTTTCAGATAAAAACTTGAATACAGGTGTTGTTACAGCAGCCTCTCAAGCAGTTTTGCAGTGTTATGGGGGTATTATACAGTGTGCACCCTCAATAGGACGGTGGTGTGTATTTTCAGGCCCACAGCTTGTGTCCTAATTAGCAGACTGCTTAGCTGCTTTGCCTGGCTTTCCTCTCCTTTGTTAAACAACAAGGCCTTCATGCTTTTTGATCAAGTGGAAGGAAGCATGGAATTTTTATTTTGCAAGGGATCTCATCACCCTGTCTTCTGTAGTTCAGTCTACTTGCATTTTACAACAAACAAACAAAAAAGCAGAATGCATGCAACAATAAATATATTCTCAACCCTAACTGGCATCTGGTAGAAGACAAATTTACAGTTCAAACAAATTACTAAGGTGTCCTCCTTGTCCCAACCTCTCCTGTGGGCATTATGGATACTGTATGGAGTCTGCTTCTGCTCTTTGTTTGGATTACATGTCTTTTTGCCTGTGCTAGTGGCAGAAGGAAACTGCAAATAGTACAGTTTTATCCAACTCTTGGCATACTTTGTGCTCGCTTTCTCTTAATCTGCTGCCTTTTATTTTGGTCCCAGCTGAGCAACTTGGACTCCTTTAAACAAAATTGGGTTTTCATTTTTCTCTTCTGGAAGAGGGGGAGAAACTGCTTTCTTTCCGACAATGCCACAGCCTGCTGCTTTCTGCTTCACT